GGAATTCAACTGAGTCTGTGTCTGTGGAGGGAGGGAGGCTGGAGGAGGATGTGGAGAGGATGACAAGGGAAGGTGCTGTTGGCCAGGGTACCTCATACCTCAAGTGGGGAGCAATGGACCACCTCAGACTAGTTTGGTATCTATCAACTTGTTAGAATCTGGCAGACCCCTCTTTGCCTCGGGAAGGAGTGGGGTCCCCATCACTTAAGGTATTCAAAGAGGGGCTACAGGCCATCTGGCAGGATTGCTGAGGTAGATAGGCTGGATTAGATGACCGGGAAGGTCCCTCCCAGTGCTGGGCTTTCATAAGCAGGGGATGCCACAGTAGAGCTCTTCAACTTCTGACAACCGTGGTGGTGGGTGGTGACCTTGGTACGCCCTCGCTACTATGGACTTGGATTGCACTAGGGCTTTAGAAAAATCAACTCCCGAAGGATTAAAAATTTACTCGGGAGTAAGGATTTTAATAAAGAGAGATGAATGTCAAATCTTCATCGTGTATCAGTGACAAGGAAAGTGACATGGACATGGAGAGAATCTGGTCGAGCCCAGGGGACTTGTGATGCTGAGCTCCCACCGGAGAGTCGGGGTGGCCGAGGAGGCGGGCCCTGCTCCAAGTGGCTCAGGTGGTGCTGTCCACCGGTCTCGGTCCCACCACCCACACGCCAGGCCCTGGGGCAGGCGCCTACTCTGGGGAATGCAGACATGATGGAGACACTGTCCGCAGCCTTATGGAACTTTCTCCAAAAGGCTGCACCAAAATGGGCCTTGGAGGAGAGTCAGAAGTCTGGGATAGGAGTAAAATATAGGGCAAACATTCCTCATTTTACCCAGTCTGAATTTAAGCAGAGAAAAAAGGCTCATTGGAGCTTGGGAAATGTTTGTAGTTGTTTTTAATTGTATAAAAACGCGACGGACAAGTACTCTGATTAGAGAGAAGGGAGGTGGTGTTACCAAAGGAGACTTCAGCAGACTCATGTGGACCATGGGCCATCTTCTTGACACAAGCCAGACCCTCCGCCTGCAGTTTGGATCCCATTCCTCTTCCTTCTCAAGGCTTTACTCCTGTGGTTCTGTCTTCTGTCTCCTCCATCGTCTCCCTTACTCTGGATGATTCCCGTAACGGAGCATGCTCCAGCATCTCCTCTCTTTTACAATTCTACCTGCAGTTCCACATTCCTATCCACCTGTTGCCCATTCGGAATCTCCCTTCACAGTCTCTACTTCCTCTTCTCCCATTCACTCCTCAAACCATTAGTGTTGTCCCTGCTGCTTGACTGAGCTGCTCTTGTCAAGGTCAGCAATGACTTTCCTGTTGCCAGATCTAATGGACGCTTCTCGGGCCTCATCTTAGTCTTGTAGCAGCATTCAAGACAGTGGACCTCTCTGATGCTGAATCCTTCCATGACCCAATATATATCTTTTCTTCTTTATTCTACTCTAATTGATGGTCATTTTTAGTCTTTTTGGCTTCCTCCTTCTCTTACTCATTTCAAGTGTTAGCGTTATTGAGCGTTCCAGGTAAAGCCCTCTTGTCTGCCATTATCTTTCTCTTGGGAGGGTCCTGTCAGGTGCGATGTTTGTAAATATGTGTATTTACATGTAAATGTAAATGATGACTTCCAAATATCCATCTTCAGCCTTCTCAGATCGCCCTTCTGAGCTCCAGACCTGCCTAGGGAACAGCCAACTCAAGCTTTCCACACGGATGTCTCATAGACGTCTCAAGACTTCACTGTCCATTCTCTGCCTCTCCCCAGTAAATCTATTCCTGCCTCAGGGCTACCCATGTGGCCCACAGTGCTTTGAATCTACCAACTCTTCCTTTCTTATCCCTGTTTCATGCCAGGCTCTTCCTTGTCCACACGGGATCCAGCCGCACTGACCTCCTTTCTGTTCTGCAAACCCACTGACCTCCTTTCCACCTTGGAGCTTTTGGACCTGCTCGTCCTTGGCTGGGAGTGCTCATCCTGTGCTTTTTACGTGACTGGCTCCTTCTTACCTGTTAGGCATTAGCTTAAGTCTTACCTTCTCAAGGATGCCTTTGCTGACCATCTTGTCTGAAGTTAAACAACACTCCCCAACTTTATTCTCATATCACCCTATTTATTTCCTTTATAGTGCTTAGAACTTTAATTTTCTCGTTTGTGAATTTGTTTACTTATTTTATTATGTATCTTTTCCCACTAGAACGTAACCTCCATGAACATAGGGACCTTGTCTTTCTTGTTCCTCCTTGGATCCATAGCGCTTAGAGTGAGTCCAGATGTATGGTAGGTGCTCAATAAATGTGTTGAATGGATGGCCAACTAAATATAAGCATCGTACTAGGAGCCCCTGTATCTTCAGGGAGCTGTTTTAAGGTGGTGAGCCTACGCTGCTCCCAGCCTCCACTCTTCAGTAAATGGATCTATGTCTTTGTACACGGTCGCTCACGGGTTCCAGCCCTGGCTCCTGCTCTCTGGTGCTTGGCAAGTGTCTTAACACTCGCAGCCTTAGTTTACTCGTTTCTAAAATAAGGAGTTTGACCTAAATGACTTCTAAGGTCTTTTTAGGCATTTCAAGTTGTGGTTCTATGAAGTCTGAAGCCAATAGAGGCAAGTAACAACAACTAACTCTTATTGACTGTTTACTGGGCATTTTGGTAATCAGTTTACATGAATTCTCTTATGATAAAATCCATCATTTTCTTGCAGTTATATTAGATTTGCCGCAGCAGTTTACCTAGATGTGTTTTTCTTTGGTGAGAATAGTGGAACTTTTACACATACTCAGACTTCCTAGGAAACATACACAGAAATAAACTTTACTGTCCAATTTACCTCTTATTTTCACATAGGAGTTTTTATTCCCATCTCATTTTTTTAAAGCCTGATAAATACAATTTAAAGATTGGAACAACAGGTCACAAAGCAGAAGGTAATCAGCTGTAGTTATAATGAAGCCATAAGCATCTGCTGGTTTTTTTTTTTTTTTTTTCCCACGGTAATGAATGCTGAGCATTACAACTGGGAAGATTTTTTTTTTTACTTTTTCTGGTGTTTCCGTTGAGATCTATGGAATGGTGTTAAATGTGTGATAGTCTTGTTATCTCGGTGGGGTCTGTGGCATCAGCTCCCAGGTCACTTAGAAACAATCTCCAGCAGTCATTGGAGAGCTGGCCAGCTGGGTCTGATGGACATAGCTGCGCCCTTGCCTGGTCCTGGCAGATTCCCTACCAGGCTCTTCAGATCCTAGGTCTGCTCAGGCCCCGGGGGGACCCCACTGGCTTCTGGAGCAGAGTGTCTCCCACAGGAAGGCGGCATGACAGAGCAAACTTCCACGGAACACGGTGGACTGAACCCTGAGGTGACAGGCCCGTGTCAAGGGTGGCTTCACTCTTAACAGACAAAACTTTTACAGGCAATTTTCCTATTTTCCCATCTTCAGATAAGAGTGACCTGGCCTCAAGCAAGGTGTTCTGAAGGAGGCAAAGGAGTTGTGGGGCTGTGTGGCTGGGAATATTCGGTCATTCATGTGAAGGAAATTTAATAGGAAAATCTTGGGGGCTGGCCCCGTGGCCAAGTGGTTAAGTTTGCACGCTCCACTTTGGTGGCCTAGGGTTTCGTCGGTTCGGATCCTGGGCGCGAACATGGCACTGCTCGTCAGGCCATGCTGAGGTGGCGTCCTACATGCCACAACTAGAAGGACCCACAACTAAGATATACAACTATGTACCGGGGAGATTTGGGGAGAAGAAGAAGAAAAAAAGAAAAGAGCAAGATTGGCAACACATGTTGGCTCAGGGCCAGTCTTTCCCACCGAAAACGAGAAAGAAAAAACAGTCTAGTGCTAACCGAAACGTGGAATTATCTGTTCTCTGTGCCTTGACGAAGCTGTCGTCTATCAATCTCTCTTGTGAAAGTGCAGTGTTTAAACGGATGTTTTCGCTTTAACCAAAGTTCCCGCTGCAGTTTGGGAATGTGGCTGTTGGGGGAGCAGAGGGATGAGAGGGGTCCAGTTATTCCCACTCCTGTTTGCAGAGAGCGATTTCCTCAGAGTGACCCCTGTGTCTCTTGCTCTGTTTCTTGTGTACTCCTCCCCAAGGAGAGGGAGGGAGGTACCCTGTTGGGGGCATGGTCATTGATCCGTGTTTTCTGATCAGGTGGGGCTGAGTACTAGGGGTTCCATCTCCGCCCTCTCTTCTCTCCTTGAGCCAGCCAAGGCAGTGATTGGTAAACGCTCAGAATGCTCCAGATTCCCTTGATGAGCTCCCCGAGGATGGAGGTGGTGGCCAGTGATGATAGCAAGTCCATTGGGCCATTGTGTCCAAGCCAGATTCTCCAACAGATGGTGTCCTCCTTCCTAACACCCCTTGACCTCAACGACTGAGTCTCATGTCTAATGATTCAGATGCCAGCGTATGAGCTCTCCTTGAACCAAATGGAGTCTTTCTGCAAAACCCATGTTCATTTAACCTTGGATTTTTATATAAACATACAAAACATTATGAGAAAAAAGTCTCAAAGGAAATACACCAAAACGATTAAAAGTGGTTGTTATAAATTGAAAGGATTATGGTGATTTTTATTTTCTTTTGTGCTTATCTGTATCTCCTAAAATTTCTACAGTGAACATGCATTTCTGTTGTAGTTGGGAAAAAATAAGTTTGTCTTTCACTTTTTCACCAAACAAACCGACAAAAACAGAAAGAAAGAAAAAGAAGGAAAGAAAACCCTAGAAACAATGGATTTGCAACAAAACTTAAGCGAGTTAACTCCACTGTGGCTGGCTCGCTGGAGGTTGTGGGAGGGGGAGCCTGGTGTTGGAATAACCACTGCATGTGCCACTTTGGGGTGACCACTGTGACCTGGCCGAACGGTCCCTCACGTGAGGGCATGGCCCTTTTCTTGGTGCAGCCTGTTGTGGGTGGGTTCTCTTGGACTCACCCTTTTCAGAGACTGCCTGTCAGGGGGTTCTTACTGGGGCCTTCGTTGTAACCAAGCCGTCTTGCTTTTCAGATCACAGCAGAGAAGTCTCCTGGAGCCTATTTCCTTCCTGAGTTTGCGCTCTCCCCTCAGGGAAGTTTTCTGGAAGATACAACAGGCGAGCAGTTTCTCACCTATCGCTATGACGACCAGGTAACACCCTCTTCAAAGAGCCTACCTTTTGGCTTTGCCATTTGCTGATGGGCAGGAAACAGTTACTCAAAAATAACCTCAAAATAATCATATTTTCCCGTTTGTACAAGTAGTACGATAGACCCTCCACCCCGGAGGGGTCCCAGCCCCCTGGGGGCCCCGCTGGAGCACAATTTCATACGCCACGTGTGGTTCTTGCTCTGGTTGGGTCATTGACTTGACAGTCACTTTTTCTTATTTTCGTCCTAAATATATGACGGGTTTGTTCATTTTATCTGTCACCAAATTTATCATTCAATTCTGAGATTATCCAAAAGTCCTATTTTCTGATCAAGCATTCCTTTCTTTGCCTTCCTAGCTTTTACTTCACCAGCACCAAAATTATTATTTTTTTTCCAAGCCCATTTTCCAGAAAGGAACAAAGTAGGTGCGTGTCTCTGTGTGTGTGTGTGTATACACACTTGCATGGGTGTGCACGTGTGATGTGTTTGAATTGCTTCACGAAGGCTAATAGAGAACAAGGCTGTGCTTGGCTGCGATGTGGGAACTGGGGCTCAGGACTGCGATTCCTCAGCTCACGTCGATGCCTTCACAGCGTTAAACAGTATGTTTGTCTTTGAAATCACTCACAACTCGTTTGAAACAGAGAATGTCAACTTTGACAAATGCAGAGGTTTCTGGCTGACGGGTCTGAATTCATGGGGCAGCGGAACAAACTGGGGTGGGATTTAAGATGAGGGATTTTGTGGGTCTGGCAGACCTTGGCGCCTGAGGACCGAATGCAGATGAGGGACAGGGCAAGAATATCTTCTCATGGCACGTGATGGGGTGGAGGAAGGTGGCCCAGTGGCCGAGGTCTGCCGTGCTGTCCTCGTCTGTGTGGTTAAGGCCGGCGAGTTCTGGCTTGATTTGGGCATTACTAGGTAGGGGGTGAAAGACATTACTGAGAAGGAACAGCTCTGGGATAGTCAATCTGCCAACATGGGTACGATGTGACAACAGGGAGTGGGACCCAGCTCTGGGCCTGTCTGGAGCTGGGCACAATGCTGGAGATTAGTCTGGGAGGAGGATCAAAGTCCTAGGCACATACCAGGCAGATGAGGGATGGAGAAAGGAGCAGAAAGGGCAGGTGGAGATGTCTGTTGCCTGTATCCCAGCTTGGGCGGAGGCACCATTAATTTTGATCCTCCAGGCTGCTGAGTGAGCTGCGCTGGGTACATTTAGCTCTGGAGCCAAGGTTGGGGTGAGGGGCAGGCTGTGAACCCACGGACCCAGCTGTGGGCAGAGGGCCACCCAGGTAGTCAGGGGCAGGGTTGGTGTGAGACCAATGCTTTTTTCAAAAATTTTAACATTCAATCCCTTTTTCAAGTTACTTGAAAAGCGAGTGCATACATAATTATTGTGGGGCGCAGGGGTGGGCGGGAGACAATTCTCTCTTCGTGCGATGGAGCTCAGTTCATGCTTTCGACGGGCATTGGGACCTGGTGGACAGTTGGGTCTAAACCATCGTTAGGTCACTTTCTACCCTTCTCCCCAATGGATCTTTAGAGGGCCTCTGACTTATGGCTCCTTTTAACCGACAAGTCAATGATCTAACAGGTTTTCCTATGAGGACTCCAGAGAAACTAATTGAGAAGGCAGCGAAGGATAAAAGAGGGTGTGTGGAGATCAAGAGCGATGTATTTTTTAAAGAGTGGTTAATGCCTTCTCCAGGTTCTACAGATACATTCTATTTAATATGATAACAATGTAAAAGATGGAAAAAGAGGAAGACAAGCCCCTCTAATCTTCTCAAAAGGCCTAAAGCAGATCTTAAAAGCGTGTGGCGCCCTGTGGACGTTTTGTCCCGGGGCGCCGTGTTCCAGAGAGCCCGTGAGCAGCCTGTGAAAACATTGTGTGTTGCCCCGATGGTGTGTTTCCTTTAAGGGAAAGGAATAAGGTCAAACGGTATCAAGCCAATAACAGGGCCCACCCTGTGCTGCTGAAGGCGAAGACGACAGGCCTTTGTGCCAAACTCAGAGTGTCTCCCAAAGGAGCCTCCAGGATGGAGTCAGCTGGAGACGGTTGACCCGTCTCGCCAAGGCCTTGTTCTCTGTCCCCTCGATGCTGAGCGTGCAGACTGCCTTGTAATGTCAAGGAGCTGCTCAGGCGTGGGGGAAGGGTAGAACGAGTCAAGGGCCACCCAGCTTGGCAATCTCTTGTCCTGCAGCACAGGATAAAATGCTTCTCCCAATTAGTCAGACTGGAGTCAGCCTGCTTTGTGTTCAAGTTCAATTCTGACACTTTACTTGCTGTGTGACTTTGGACATGTTACTTCACTTCTCTGTGCCTCAGTTTCCTCATCTGTGAAATGGAGATATGAGATGTGGATGGTGGCTACCCCATGGAAATGTTTTAAGGATTAGAGGAGATAATTCATGTAAGTCCCCGTGTACATGGCCTGTGCTTATATAAGCATTTACTCTAGCTATTGTTATTACTAGTGATATTATTGGCAAAGACTCAGTTGAGAGAATTTCAGATATCCTTATGCTAAAGGAAAGGAAGCAGCATATTCTCCATTTACATCAGGGGACCTCCCACAATATTTTATTTTTTTCTTTAAAGATTGGCACCTGAGCTAACAACTGTTGCCAATCTTCTTTTTTTTTTCTTTCTGCTTTTTCTCCCCCAAGTCCCCCTGAGTACATCCTTGTATATTTTAGTTGTGGGTCCTTCTAGCTGTGTGCACAATATTTTAAATTGATTTTTTATTGAGGCACAACATGCATACAGTAAAGTGCACAGGGATCTGAAGTTAAGAGCTTGATGTAGTTTTAGGTATCTTTCTACCTGTGTAACCACCCCCCAGATCAAGAAATTGAACATTTCAGCACCCTAGGCAGCTCCTCGTGCCCCCCAGCAGTCAATAGCCCCCAGCCGAGAAGTGATCCCACTCCTATCACACTATAGATTAGCTTTGTTTTTTATTCTTAATTTTGTATAAGTGGAGTCCTACAGCACCTCCTCATTTGTGTCTGGCTTCTTTCACACATCATTATGTCTGAGAGATTCAACCAAGTCGTTGGATCCAACATCATTTCGGGTTTAATGTCGTTCAGTTGCACTCTACGGAACAAATTATCTCATGCTGGAATGAATTGCAGCATACTGGGTGGCGTGCAACATTGCTCCTGTACAGAAATTCCCAGGTTGTCCCTAAAACGTTTTCAGGGTAGTCCCTCCAAAGATTCTGTACCTGGCGTGTGGTGGGGGCAGTTTTCCAGGGCAGCCTTGTTGCCCCCCGGCAGCTGTTGGCATTCGATGGCCAGAAGGAGGTGCGGCTCTGTGTGAGCTGCCACCCAGGGCCGCTCTGTGCTCTCACGTGGCTCAAGTACCTACCTGTGGGGTTGGCAGACATACTGCCCTGCTGTCACAGAGGCCTGAGGCCAGCATGACAAAGTGCTTGTGCTCTTGAGGCTGTAGTCGGGGACTGATGTTGCTGGGGCAGGACTGGGTTCAGTAGGATTTTCCTACCTGTAAAATGCTCATTTGATAAGATGGGGAGCCAGCGGATGGTGTGTGGGTCTTGGCTGTCTTCAACAACCCTCATAGGACTTTTTAAAGTATTTTATCCCGGCATATTTCCACGAAGGCCTTTCGGTCACTTTTCAAATGTCTCCTGGATTAGGTGTCTGGAAAACTAATAACCCAGAGGCCATGAAGTGCAGCTGTGGTGCAGGCTGTGTGCAGCGAGTCGCGTAGAAGGCACACTATGGATTCTGCACGGAGCTGAAGCTGCTGCCAGTGGGGACGGCGGTTCTGAAGCCTGCGGGGTGGGTAACAGTGCGATTTGGTGCCCACAGGACTGGTCAGGCAGCCTTTGTCCTGTTTCTGCCACCGATTGGCTTGTAATTTAACAAAGTGATTCGACGTCTTTGGACCTCCGATTCTTTGTTTCTGTTTTGAAAAACAAAGTGACTGGATTTCATAACCGGAACTTCTTCCCCTCTAGAATAGTCTATTTTTCAAAACTACAAATAGAATATTCTACACTGCAGAGTGTTAATTGGATCATTCTGATTATCAAGGCAGGCTTGCCAGCGATAGAGTAAACTATTGCTTCCAGAATCATAGAATTTTACAGCTGATGGAGACTTTGGCTCAAATGCCTCATTTTACAAGTAAACAGAGACTCTGCAAATGACTTACTCAAGGACGCCCAGATGGTTATTTGAAAAACCTGAGACTGTTACCCTCCAGACCTCAGGCTCCCCAACTCTGTACATCTGCGACTCTCAGAAGAATCGCTTAGAAAATTATCTCCTTTCCTAAGAATCCTGATTCCACTGTTCCAATGGGTAGAGCTGTGGAGACCTTATAGACCAAAGGACATGATTTAACAGTCGTAAGTTGTTTCATCAGCTCATTCTTAACACCTTCAGGAATTTGCACTTACTATGTTGATAGCGTTTATAATTATTATCACAATAGGAATGACAACTTTTTCAAACTCTGGGCGAAACATGGCAGCTGAAATTAAAATGGCACTGACTTCCCATTTAGTGAGCGTATCCTTGGAATGGAAGCTTTGTAACATTGTTAGTTTGGGACGACTTGCTAAGGAGCTTGTGGTCGAACGACTTGTTAGCCAGCCAGCCTCTGGGGTAGGTTCTTGTTTTATTCCTCGTGCTGGTTTGGAGTTTTGTCCTGCAGAGACCTGTTCACAGGCAACAGCTAAAGGTCGGTTCTAGGATGCAGAGTCTTAAGTTCCACAGTCTGTTCTCCCGTTGCTGACTAAGGCAGTTCGGAGAGCTGCTCGGTCACTCTCTGCCTCCATCTCCTTCTGGGTCTTTCCATCATTACCTCCAACTGGCTGCAGCTTTCTTCTTGGGGCCTCGTATGTTGTTATGGGGACTGATTTCAAAGTCTGTCCCCAGCTTAGTGTCTCTCGGTTGGAAATCATTTCTTTTTCTAAAATGGTAGGGACATTCTTTGTTTTGCACAAATATTCCTTTGTT